TGCACATGGTTCAAATTTCATAGCTGTACATCAAAGGACAAGAAGGTAGGTCACATCATCCAAATCTAGGTCACCTGATATCAAAATTCAATTTTACAACTAAAACTGTGCACATAGTCAAAATTTCATTGCTGTACATCAAAGGACAAAAAGTAGGTCACTGTCCCCTTGAGCAAGGCAAACTTTTGGACCCAAGGGTTTAATTCAAAACAATCTTGATACAGGTCCACCAAACAACATTTCAAGTCAAATATCTAAGCTGTAGCTTTCTCCCATTCAGAAAACATTGTTTTAATTTCTGTTTTTACTATGTGTACATAATGAGAATCACTGCCCCCCTGGCAGGGCCAATTTTGACACCAGGGGAAAAATTTGAACAACTTTGGTAAAGGACGTCTATAGATGATATTATATATATAGCAAACATCAAAGCTCTATGCCTTGTACCTTCAGACAAAAATATTTTTTTTTTTTTACTATATGTACATAATGAAAATCAATGACCCCCGGAGCAGAACCAATTTTGACCCCAGGGCTATAATTTGAACAATCTTGGTAAAGGTTCACTTTGCACAGTCTCATGCCATCAGTGTTCGAAATTAGCAGTAGTCCGATAGCCCCTGACTACTTATTTTCTCCTCGGGCTACCAACTTTTCACAGTAACAAGCCCGAACAGACTACTGTATTTTCAGAAGCAATATATAAACAACTGTTGGGGAAAAATGAATCGTGCTAGTGAAATGTCTTTTGGGCTAGTGAATATTCCAATCGGGTAGTCCGACCAGACTAGCGGATTCAAATCCGAATTTCTTACACTGTGCCATATATTTAACCTCTAGCCTTTGTCAATTCAGAGAAGAAAATTTTTCAATTCAGGGAAGAAGATTTTCAAGTTTTTACTTTATACATATAAGGAAAACTATCGTCTCTGGGGCAGGGCAATTTTAACACTAGGGGCATAATTAAAAAATCTTTAGTAGAGGACCCATAGATGATATTATATAGCAAATATCAAAGCTGTAAGTCTTGTACCTTCAGACAAGAAGATTTTTTAATTTTTTACTATATGTACATAGTGAAAATCAATGACCCCTGGGGGTGGGGCCAATTTTGACCCCAGGGCTATAATTTGTACAATCTTGCTAGAGGTTCACTACATAATGTTTCATGCAAAATATCTTAACTCTTGCCTTTGTAAATTTAGAGAAGATGATTTTTTAAGTTTTTACTATATACATATAAGGAAAACCTATGCCCCTGGGGCAGGGGCTAATTTTGACACTAGAGGCAAAATTTGAAAAAAATTTGGTAGAGTACCTATAGATGATATCATTTAACAAATATTAAAGCTCTAAGCAGACAATAACTTTTTTTGATTTTTTACTATATTTATATATTGAAAATCAATGACCCCCGGGGCGGGGGCAATTTTGATCCCAGGGCTATAATTTGAACAATCTTGCTAGATGTTCACTTCACAATATTTCATGCAAAATATCTAACCTCTAGCATTTGTCAATTGCTAGAAGAATTTTTTTTAAAGTTTTTACTATATACATATAAGGAAAACCAATGACCCCCAGGGCTGGGCCGATTTTGACCCAAGGTCTATAATATGAACAATCTTGGTAGAGGTCTACCAGACAATGCCTTATGCAAAATATCTAAGCTCTAGGCCTTTTGGGTCTTTACAAGAAGGTATTTTAAGTTTTTACTATATGTACATATATAGTGAAAATCAATGACCCCCGGGGCGGGACCGATTTTGACCCCAGGGCTATAATTTGAACAATCTTGGTAAGGGTCTACCAGACAATGCCTTATGCAAAATATCTAAGCTCTAGGCCTTTTGGGTCTTTACAAGAAGGTATTTTAAGTTTTTACTATATGTACATATAGTGAAAATCAATGACCCCCGGGGGCGGGGCCGATTTTGACCCCAGGGCTATAATTTGAACAATCTTGGTAGAGGTCTGCCAGACAATGCCTTATGCAAAATATCTAAGCTCTAGGCCTTTTGGGTCTTTACAAGAAGGTATTTTAAGTTTTTACTATATGTACATATAGTGAAAATCAATGACCCCCGGGGCGGGACTGATTTTGACCCCGGGGCTATAATTTGAACAATCTTGGTAAGGGTCTACCAGACAATGCCTTATGCAAAATATCTAAGCTCTAAGCTTTTTGGGTCTTTACAAGAAGGTATTTTAAGTTTTTACTATATGTACATATAGTGAAAATCAATGACCCCCGGGGTGGGGCCGATTTTGACCCCAGGGCTATAATTTGGACCCCAGGGCTATAATTTGAACAATCTTGGTAGAGGTCTACCACACAATGCCTTATACAAAATATCTAAGGCTCTAGGCCTTTTGGGTCTTTACAAGAAGGTATTTTAAGTTTTTACTATATGTACATATTAGTGTTCGGTATGTGGTAATGGTCAAGACGTAGGTTTAGTGCTCTGTTAAAATGAATTAATATTGTTGGAATTACTACATTTTTTGGATCAAAATTTATATGTGGTGAATGAGTATAAAAGGAACTATAACTATTTGCTTTAAAACATGTTAAAACATGTTGTAAGTTGGACAGAATTTGAGTTATTTGGATGTTAAAAACTGTGAGTTGTTTAAATTTTCTCGATAGATACATGTAAATACCTGTCTTCGTAACGCTTGATTTAATTCTTGACATTGTATATATTCTATTGTTGGTCAATGGATTATGATGTAATAGCAGTGGTCACCTGTGCCTGCTGGACATTATAGCTTATAAAATTTACGGAAGCGTAAAGTGGTCATAAATAAAACAAAATATATTACAGACGCTTATAGGATAAGCTTATAATAAGAAAAATATATACATATATGTAAACAATGGGAGTTGATACAACTACATACAGAGCAAGAATTGGAACTTTTGCATTAATTTGTAAACCGCACAAGAAAAAACCTAAATATAGCAAATATAATAAGTTCACTAAAGGGACAGACATCCACCTAAGAACCTTTGCATGTAGCTTATACGCTTTGATTTGCGCACTAGTTCTCTATGGAGTTGTGACGTCGAAAACATGCATAGTTAACAATTTTTCTTCGCCAAACGCAGATATATGCAATTTGTCATTCACTATTACGCAAGGATCTATGACCAGACGGCTATGAACGAAGCTATCCGATTATGTGGCCCCAGCTTTGCCGTGTGCAAAATGCGCAGCGCTTTTAAGTTTGGGAACCACATAATCGGATAGCTTCGTTCATAGCCGTCTGGTCCATTGAATTAATCGAAAGTTTTTGTCGTTGAAAAAAAACGGCGAGAATATTGATGTTTATTTCGGCTGTTTCGTTGTTTATATTACCGTTGAAGTTTAAAATTGACCATCATCGTGAAGAATTATATCTTCTGTGTCGATGGACCAAAGGATTATGTTAAAATATTGGAAATGGATTAAAATACATGGTGATTATGACGGTAGGGGTGCGGATTTTTTCCGGCGAACATTTTCTGTACGAAATCTGCTGTGGTCATAGTATTATTTTTACAATAGGTTTATCTCTTAGATTTGGTTCGCTAAATTGCTAATCATGGTCATGCAACTACATAGTTAGGTGAAGAAGCAGGCGCTTGTTTTGGTTGAGTCTATTATGTTTTGTTTAGGGGGTGAGTTGTCATACACAAATTTACAATTTATATGCATTTATTTTTTTCCAATGATTGTTATTATCTTAAATGCTTCTGGGGTTGTTGTTTTATCAATTCATTTGTAAATAAGATTGTTATATGTCTATTAACGGAATAATTTTAATGAACACGAAATTAGTTCACACCTACATGTGTATTGGAAACGTGATGGTTTAAGCCAATGAAAACACGTCAATATTATTTTACTCAGGCAGAGAAAAAGTGTGCAAAGAGTAAATCGATAATCTTTATGTAGCCAGCAAACTTTGAATTGCAAGTATTTTTTCATATCTTTTCGGCAGAATAAACTTTTCGAGGATTTGTATCGTAAAATGGCTGCCAGTTACAGTATCAAGTGATTATCCCAAGCACCACCGCGGCTTAGCGCGGGAATTTTAATTATAGCTAATCTCGGCGCGTATACCTTTTTCATATTTTATTGTAATAAATATTTACAAACTGTGTCTTTCGGGTTTTTTTATCAATATATAACCAATAATGAGGTTAATATGAATACATAATCATATCTCAAATCTTTGACTATGATTTACAATGAAATTCTACTTTAAGGGTATTAAAAAGGTTTTTAATTTCCTGTAATTTTATTTTGTGATTATGCTTCAAAGCAGTAAATTGACCGTGAATTTTCTTTTCATGTTTTGATTTCTTTGAAATCATTTTTCTCATCTGAAAGCATGCAACTTTAATATGGTGATACATTAATTACATTCCATGAAAATGTTTAAAGATATAAAATATCTCATGACATGTTTGTTCATTTTACATTACACCTTTAATTCAGCAAACATAAAGTCTTCACAGAAAGTAGTATGCAATCGTACCTATATTACATACGAATGTATGTAATATTTTTCTTGTTATCTTGTGTATTATTATAGATGTTGAAATATGATTTTTTTTCAAAACGGCATATATTAAGATTTTTTGATATATATGATCAGTACATGTCCTGGGATTGACAAATATGCATTTTATTTGGATTTTAAAGGCGTTTTGAGCTCCAAACCCCAAGCGTCTGTGGGCCTTTTGGGTCTTTACAAGAAGGTATTTTAAGTTTTTACGCGATGTTTATTAAAAATACGAAATATCTTTTAAAAATTATTATACATTGAATTTATTGCAATCCGACTTAATTAAATAAATAAGCCAGCTTGGCTCTCACATGGTCAAGAAAACACGTGTTATGTAAAAATTAGTGATAACTGATACTATTAGTCTAAAACAATATAAACTTAAGAAACTAGACCGATTTAATGCACATTTTAAAATGCAACGTAAGAAAAATAAATGTTACCTGTTTAATGTTGCTACAATTTGTCCTGAAACTGATATGTTCGTTTAAAAATGAATGTCTTCAAATTTATGTTTTGTGTGTATGCTCTTCAAGGCGGAGACTGATCAAAGTGACATTGACCTATTGACCTTGCTGTACTGGGCATATCTAAAATATTTAATTGAACACGGAATTTATAAAAGCTGAATCAATTAAAATAATTTTTAAACACTCATGTGGAACAATTTACAAATAAAAAGATTCCTATGATATAATTTCCCAATGACAAACGTTTAATGAATAGAAAAAGCTTCTGATGCAATATAAAGTTTTAGATATCCTTTACAACCCTAATCAGCTGCTTTGTAAGGAGAATTCCTTAAATGTAGTATTATGAAATATATTTTGCATCGAAGATACAAATCAAAAGCAAAACCATTCTAAAGAAATAATAATCATCTATTGTATGATTTTATTTATGATTTTTTGCAAAGATAACTTTCAACATATGATTATATAATTGGTGCAAAATTTCCTCTTTCAGCTAGTCCCCTGATCAAGGTCATTACGCCGGTAAAGCACATGCGTTTAGGAAGGTGGAATTTTCTCGACTGTGTTAGTTACGCAAAATCTCGGAATGGTGAGATAAATTTTATGATTTTTGTACTTAATTTTCGCATTTGCTCCTCTAACATTTGAATTTCATGCAGACAGATATTCTGTTTTACGGATATAATTTTTCGTACTCAAAAATTTCGCCTCGAGTTGAGGCTTGTAAAGTTGTATGAATTTCTTTCTACATTTTCATTGTTATGCAATCACATTGATTGGTGAATATTCCAGTTTATCATGTTAATATCAAATTAATGAAAACACAATGGACATATCATTAGACCCCATGGGTGTGTATATATGAGTTTATTTATTCCACAGGCACGAGTGTCGGACCTGAGAAGAAAAATATGACCACATTGATTAATTAAATCAAAGGGCTGCATGCTCTAGATCTGTGGTATTTTCTGATCTTTCCTGTATAAGTTTATTTTTATATACTATTATTCATCTTACGCAGCGACTGCGTTTAACAGTTTGTGATTGATACATATGGAATTTTGCATGCTTAGAGTTGCATCAAAAACCATTTTTCATTTTTTATTACAGCCACACTTTATCCTTGCATATCGTGGCAACTTCCTTAAAAAAGACACTTCAAAAAAAATGTTGCCTCGACAAGGATTTTAACCTTAGGCCTCTCACACCCTAAACGAGCGCGCTACCTCTGCACCACAGTGAAGTAATACGTATGTAGCGTGAATAAAAACAAATATATTGTAATTCTAAAATTGAGAATTTTCATTTCGTATTAGTAATCCTTATTAATATCGAGGTATTTTGTTCACGATAAACCTGTTGTTAAACACTGATGAAAATAATTTAGCGAAAATCTTCTCGCCAAAACAGTCCGACATGTATATATTCCATTACTCGACAGTCAGATTTATTTGTGTACTACGCTCTGGAGTATTTGGTAATCGACATAGCTAAAAATAGCATTTTCATCGATTAAGCTTTACGGAAATAGTCGAACATTTTTCATTGGGTAAAAAAGATATTCATCCGCGAAATTTGTGATTGTAACCTCCTATTTCTATTGACTAATGTAAATTTTTAATGCACTGTAATTCGTTAAATGCCTACATTGAAAATTATTCTTTTTTTTAAATTGCTGGTTTTTAAGCAGTTTTGAGTGAGAACTACTTTGCGTTGTTAGGTCTGTGAGGAAATTTTGTGTTAGACCGTGGATGTTAGCTATGTATTTACTGATCTTGCGATCAGAAAATACAAAAACCTGTGTTCATCTTTTAAATGTGTCAAAAACAAAAAAATGAAAGAAGAAATGAACTCCAGACCTCTAGCTTCCTTGTAACCCTTTGACCACGGGGAGGTTATAAAAAAGATAACAGCCTGAAAAAAAACATATTATTCTAAATTAGATATTTTGTTCATGGTAAACCTGTTGTTTAACACCTGGTTTTTTTTTTTTACTAACAAATTGACACCGATAGGCGGCGTCTTCCCCTCTGTAAATAGCCAAGTTTTTTTCCCCAAAAAATTCTATTTACCCTTTGAACTGGATCAGATTAAATATTTAAACGTGGAAAGTCCGAGCGGGGCTGAAGGCTGTAGCGCTCTTAGATAACTTGTATGACGCGTATCAATTCAAATAAAATCAAACCAAAACTAAATGAAATTTTCAAAAAAATATATATATATCCTATACGTAATGAGCTGTGTTAACTGGGCGCCACCATTTTGAAATCCTTTTGAGCTAAATATAGATATCAGAGTGCTTTTGATGAGCGTCTACATAATTCAGACGCTTGTTTAATAACACTTCCGGTGAAAGAATGGTGTCATGGGCAGGGGCGTAGCTTGAAAGAAACCAATGTGTAGGCACTTGAGTTAGGGGGGTTCGGGGGCATGCTCCCCTGGAAAATTTTGAAAATCTACAGTGCCGTACCTGCATTCTGGGGTATGTTAAGGCATGTTCTGAAGGAAGAGTATTCATAATTTTGCTGAGTTTTGGTTACATTTTTTTCCATCAATTTAAAGATGACCATACTTATATCACTAACTCAACGCAAAGATACTATGATATTTTGGCAAAAAGAGCTTTTTTTCCGTATATAGTTTTGGGTAATAATATATGAATCAAAACGAACAATTTTTTTGCAAATTTTTAAGCAATCATTAAAATTTCAAATTCAAAATAAGGTTGTCTAAACATATAATTAGAAAATAATGAAAACAAAGATCAACAAGACCGAACGCCATTAACTAAATGCACCCCTTTACACATGACAATCGGTATTTAAATACCAATTGATGATGAAATATCTAATGTCACACAAACAGCATCGAATACATTTTCTCAATAAGATTTTATGTTCCCATAATTTTATGAATGAAAGCCTTAGTGAAACATATACATAGAACATAGAATAGACTGTTTACGTGAAGTCAAACATATAAAGAAAGTAAAGACAAAGCAAACTTACAACTCCAGTACGTTACCTACAGTAAAGTGAGAAAAAGAATTCCGAAGAACTTTTATTATCAAACATTTTTGTAATTTCAATGAACTATTTCGCGCGAAGTAGTGTCAGAATGTTCAGAAATCTATTTCACAATTGTAAGAATTATTATCAGTGCGAATGAACTTGGCATGTCAGAACGGTCATATTCATTTACATGTACATGTACATGTTTATTTTAAAAACTAAAAAATTGGATATTTTCCATCATGTTTTTCCTTACATTCTTTCTTTCTTCTAATATTTCTCCATAAGTCTCTCTATAGTGATAATTCAACAATCAATTATTTTCTTATTTTTTCGCTGTACATTTAAAGAGCTTACATCTATCCGCAACATTTTGTACCTTTATTTTGCTGGAGAGGTATTGTTTCCAATCTGAATTACATTGTTGTGAAATGTTTGTAAATGTTACTTTGTGTGCAATTTAATGAATAAATAAAGTTTCATTTAAGTATAAATTAAAGAAAGAGAATTAAATTGCCAGCTTTATAAGCAAACTCTCCACAAGTACGCTAATTAATGCATATTTTGATGTGTATTCGAACACATTACTTGTATATGTAATAGAAAGAGCACCGAAACACGAATCTATCTGATTTGTACGAGGGGGCGTAGCCCCCGAGTATTAATCAGATTGCCGAGTGTTTTGGTGTTCTTTCTCTTTTGTATCATAGTCAAACATAAAAGCACGTTCCCTGTTGTCACAATATGAAACCCCGGCAAAAATGAACCAATGAACGAACATCTGAATATGACATTTCTGTCGCTTTCCCTTTCTCTGCCGTCACAATATGTAAACCCCAGCAAAAATGAGCCAATCAATGTGCATGCTCTGGAGTGCGGGTAACTAATACCCGCACTCCAGTTAACGCACTGTGCATGTATATGTAAACGATTTAACCCTGACACATTTTCAACAGAAAGGTCTCCAAACTATGATACAAATATCTATTATCACGGATTTATATTACATATATAAATCTGTAGCCAAGGGTCACCGGCAGGGCCTTCACTTTCGGGTCGTTTGGGGAATACTCGCTAGCGTAGTGAGCGCCCCACACGGAAACCCTCGGTTGGTTGGGTGTGTGTGTGGGATACTGGTGTATTATTATTATCCAGTATCCTCTTTGTTATGATGACTTATTTTATAACTCAAAAGTCCAGTATGATGTTATTTCATTTATTTCTTTATAGCCCATTGAAAGTTCTCAAATACAAAATAATCATATAGTCCACACATATATTTTCACAGCTAGCACCTGAATTTTGCTTAAGTTAATTTTACTTATTTATTTTCTAAGTTAAGACTTGATGTTATATGTCCGAAATTCTATATAAGACTTTTAGATGTTCTCAGTTCCAAAATTAAAATAAGACTTTTAGATGTTCTCAGTTCCGAAATTAAAATAAGACTCATTTAAAATATAAAAATCGACAATATAAATTAAGAAGGAGTTGTCATAGTGTTTTAAGCCTAAAGCAATATTAGCAATAAATATCAAAAGATAATCTGGTATGGCTTGTTTGATAAAAGACTAGGAAATTGAGAATTAAGCCATAAAGTATTAAAATCAAGAGGTGATAATATTTCCTTATTGACCACTATGACATATGTTTATACTATAGTTGTAAAATTTATCAGCTGAGAATCTAAAAGTAATTTTTATCAAAATATTTATGCAACATGAAATTCTTTTAATGATTATTAAAAATGTAAGTTATTTATGAATATTGAAATTATTAATGTTTTTTATAATTAATTTTCTAAAAGCATTTTGACGAGGAAATGCTATGTTACACATCACCTGTCCTTATAAAATGATTGTCCTCAATCATAGTCATATTACATAATGAATACAATAAAAAGAAACATACAAAATCATACAAACAAATCGGATATCCTCAATTATACAGAGATCTGCTGAGGACGCGATTTTGCGCCATTGGCGCTAAAAAAAATGAGAATGGCGCAGAAAAATCGGCAGCAAAGGGCCATGGGCGCATCTAAAATCTGTGCCAGACTTATAAGAAAACAAAATTGTCCGTTGGGTAATTTAGTTATCCAGTCAAAACTGGTACTAACAGCAACATGTTACCCATTCCCCTGCAATTGCGCATATTCTTGAGTTTATCCATTCCCCTATAGCTTTTGTCCATGTTATCTACTTACCGCATTTCTTCTTAAAATCCCTTTCCCACACAGATACTCATTTCTACTACGTAAATTTAATCCAATAAAACAAACAAACAAATTATACAACTACATAATATT